AAATTCTGGAGTGGTTTTCATTTGATCACGAAACAAATGTGGATATCCCTAAGGGAAGCGTGAAAACGTAAACTCAGGAGAACAAGACTTGCTTTAAACAGCAGCGTTAAGATGCTTGCGTCGATGGGCATTTCCCTCTAGCGATCGCATTTATAAGTTCTATTGAGACTGTAGCATCAAACGCAAAACCACTGACAGATTTTTAGTTTCTGAAATTTGGCCATTTTCAATACATGAAGCCGTTATTTGGTCCGCAGACATAAACCTGCAATAAATATTTTAATGACAAATTGCTGCCAGGTCACTGACCCTGAAGATGCATGACGCCAGCTAAAATGTTGTCATCTGTTCCCTGCGCTGCAGCGAACTGAAACCACTGCGTAGAAGACATCATGCTAACAGTTTTGCCATAAATATCGTTAATATTTGTCTAATTTCACTCCAACATTGTGTACAGTAGGGTGTTTGTTAATAAATATTGGAGGGCAAGACGATACGTCGATTGATGAAACCATTAACGGCCAGCCACGATGAACAATTCGACACTGTTACATTCCAATATATCTTTTTCATCGATTCTTGGTACTGGTGAGATTGCTTTTGTGCTTTCATGCTTTTGTTACTTTTCAGTATTTTCCTAAATAAGCGTTTGCCTCATGATATGATATCTTCAGCCGTTATTATATCACATGCGCAAATGGAAATCTGTGGACTGAATTTGGCGTTAATGTGAAATGGATAATAAAACCATGGGCCTGCTCGCCGCCGAACGTCAGTTCTACAGTGTAGACGGTAGAATAGCAAAAGTTCACAAGACTGAAAATCGCCCTATTGTGAGTTTCTGATCAAAGTTTGTAGCAGTGATTTTTTCCTATGTGTCATTCCAACATATGGTTACCAGACGAAGAGCTTTCTGCAATTTTTACAAAAGTCATCATGCTATCATGAACTTGTGCCCTACATTTCTATCTTCATTGAAAATGTTGACTAGGGGGGCAGACGACTCAGATATGATCAAGTCACGTGCGCAGAAAGAGTTTTAAATGATGAATATACACTAATGCCTATTGTCAATATAGCAGGCAACATTTAATGTAAACTTAAGTATTATTTTTCTAGTTGCTGATCTAGT